ACGCGCACGCGCACGCGCGCGCGCACGCACACACGCCCGCGCACGCACGCACACGCACGCACACACACACACACAGAGACACACACACACACACACACACACACACGCCCGCACACACGCACACACACACACACAAGAAGCCCTTTCTAGCTGAGGAGTTTTTTTCCTGCGGCAGCTGCAGACTGCAGCCGCGGCAGGCACGGCGTAATTCAGGGGCAGTTGAGCTGCTATGTTGGTGGGGGCTCCGGCAAGACCTTTGCCAGCTCCGTCAAAGGCAATCACGCTGGCTTCCTCAGAGACCTTCAGCGGATCCATGAGCCCATCGGTGAATCCGAAGTCGCTGAGCTGCTGCACAAGGCACAGGGTAGTTTTGAGCCCACTGCCAGTGTTGTTCGTTCGAGAGTTTCCAATCGACAAGCCGCCATGGTGCTACGATGCTCCCAACTTGACGTCAGGACGCTTCCGTGTGGGTGGCTATGCAGTGTCGAGCCAGAGCTTGCTTGTGTGTCTCATGCCTCAGGCCATCTGTGGCAGCGACGCAGCAGGCGCAGAAAAGGACGGAGCCTTATGGTGACTCTCGAAGCTGTGCTCCCGTACTACAGATTGCCATCAGTTGGGCACGAGTCCAGAGCTTTGATTTCGAGAAAGTAGATACTAATTTTCCAGCGCAAGCGCAGCAGGCGCAGGACACGACGGCATGTTTGGAGCAACACAGCGCATTGGTGAAGTGATCTGCTGAGATTTGTTTGAGGTGGTTGAGGGGCTGCTCGCTGCTCGCCCCGAAGCTGCAGCAGCTGCTCGTACAGGTGTGACGAGTTGAAGGGCAGTCAGGGGATCAAGAAGCTGCTGGTATGTTGCTGTTGCAAACTATAACACGAAGATGTGTTTCGCCACATGGAATCGTTCGAGGACGTATGATCCGTATGATTGTTTAGATGCACTTAGAAGTTGGAAGAAGGCAGGAGGACTTGCTTGCTGAGCATGCTGCACATGGTCCCCACACACTTCCTGGATGGTATAGAGAGTCTGAGTGGGGAGGCCCTGAAAGGCGGGCCTGACCGAAAAGCGCTCACACCAGATTTTGGTGTTCTGCCGGATGCGGGAGGGGTGCCTCGGCAGAGAAGGCCAAGACTAGGCCAGCAAATGCTTATCCTGCCCGCCACCACCACCACCACCGCCGCCACCACCGCCGCCGCTGCCACCACCACCACCACCACCACCACCAACAGCCTGGGAACGGGAATGGCGCAAATCCAGACACCAAAGCCTTGGCGGATTACAGCAGCTTGCCTGCTTAATGCAGGCGCGCGCGACGCTCTCGGCCGCACACCTTTGCATGCAGCTGTGGCAGCCAACAGGCCTTGATGGGACAAGCACCCGGCAATGGTGGCAGTCGTGGTAGTGGTAGCAGCAGCAGCAGCAGCAGCAGCAGTAGTCAGTAGTCGTCATCGTGGTAGTTGTAGTGCTAATCGAAGCAGCCTGATTGTTGTTGTTCGTAGTAGTAAAGGAGCAGCAGTAGCCGCACAGTTGGACTAGCATGACCACTTGTGGGGGCAATAGCAGTTGTGGGTCAGTACTGGTCGATGGTAGCTGATACTAGCACATGCAACTTCGGTACTTCGAGGGTTCTGGCCGAGAATTTGTGCGGGCTCCCGGTGAAGATTGGACCGCATCCTGGCAAGGCTGGAAGTTTGCCGAGCGCTCGTGTCGGCAAATGCTGATCCTGGGCTGCTGGATGGCAGCTTGCCACTCAAAATTCACTGAAGAAGACACTGCATAGTTGTGGGAAGGGTGAGGGTGAGGGACCGGTGAGGCACCAATGAGGCACCAGTGAGGGATGTGAGGGGAGAGGGAGGGGGCGTTCGGCCAGGACACGGGATCTCGGCCGTGGAGCTGGCGAGGAGACGGAAGCTGGACACTTCGAAAGGTGCGACTTGAGAAGGGGAACTTCGGGGACTTCGGGTCATCTGAGTTATTGTGCAATCGGTCAGGTAACTGGCGACATGAAGCCGATCCTTTTCATGAGCTCCTGCGGGGAGCTGTAGCCAAGTCGGTGCCAGCCGAAGCAAATGCAACGTAGCCTCAAACGATTGCAAGAGATTGGATGCAGTGCTTGATGGCGTGCATTGACACAGTCAACTGCAGCGATTTACTGGTGGCATTACTACACTGGCTACTGAGCCGATTCAGTCCTGCTCGTTAGTCTACACGTTCTTTCGCGGGCTACGAATTCGAAGAGGGGGTCAGGCTGGAGATTTGACCTCGGCTGACAGCTGGGTGCGACTTGAAGTCGAAGTCGAAGCGCTGTGGCAATAGATCTGCTCTTGAAGTCTGCCCGCCAGCTGTGGTTGAATGCTAGACCTGCGAAGCCGAACCTGGGGAGAGAGTGAAAAGCCACGTGCGTAGCATGTCTCCCTGGAGATCGACATGTTGTCGTGTACCGAGCGGCTCAAGCTCCAAAGATCTGAAGAAATCGTTGCCATGGCTGAGACGATGGCCAGAGCTGACCTGCCGCGGCCTCCGGCCCTTCCCACGCTGCTTCTTTCGGCCAGGACGCGGCCGGAGCCATCCCCGAAGTCGCCGAAGGAGAAAGCTGCAGAACTGGAAGCGATCCAGGAGGCCCAGGGCAGGCAGCCCGAAACTCTCACGAAAGAACGGGCCATCACACTGCAGCTGGAGCTGATGGCAGCCTACGGCACACCGGCTTTTCAGAAGGAGCTTCACGAAATTGGTCGAAGATATGGGACACTTGGCCTGCGGTCCAAGCTTACACGGGAACGTTGACAGGCAGTCTTGCTTCTTGCTTACACAATGGTACATAACTGGGTTCATGAAAGGGCAGACACGTTGCTGTAGCAACAGAACAGGGCAGGGCCAATGTGTCGTCATGTTCCATTGTTGGAGTATGTTTGGGTGTGGTGGTCTGCGTGCATGACGATGGCACGATGGCTTCGTGTAACACAACACTTAGAAGCCGCCGGTAGCCTAAATGTCCAAAGATTTCAGGGGTCGGTTATCATTTCGTGTGCGTGGTGTAGTTTCTTACATGTTGATGCCTGCATAAGCAAGGACCAGCAGCAAGCTACGGTCTGAGCTGTGCAAGTTGGTGCGGCGTATCCAGTTGGACATCATCCCCAGATATGGCAGCTTGCCTTGATCAGTTATCTTTGAACACGCCGGTGTGTTGACAGTCGACTTTCAAAGCCATATTGTTTTGGATTCCAGACCTGCTGACTGTGACTGGGCATCTCTGCATCGTTGGTTCCCTTGCTCGCGTCTTGCCCGGTTCTGTCGAAAAGCAGCAAAAACTCAACCTAGCACAAACGGATCACGATGTGGCGATGGTATTCCAAAGTTCCTCACTAATCATGTCTGGTAAGTTGAGCGACACGGCGGCGCATGTCTCCACCAGTGCACACGGACAGGAAGCTGCAACACAACGGTCATTGGTCATTTAGTAATCATCGTAGGAAGGACAAGCCACATGCGCCAAATGTGCAGAAAGACAAGGAAAGGCGAGGTAGGTATCTGGCAGCACTTGGCAGGTACAGTGAAGGTGGTAATCTCCGTCTGGTAATCTCCTGCTAGTATTCCTGAACAGCTCGATCCCGACTGCATACTGGGGCAGTCATCCCTGCTGAGGTTTCGATGGATCTGAAGAGGGGGTCCACAGCATGTTGCGATCATTTAAAGCGCTGGAGAAGGATCCCGACATTGAGGCACGCCAGTGTCTCGTGGGCGCAGGAGGTAGCGGCGTGGTGCCGAGTCTACAGGTCAATGACGTAGCCATCAAGGAGCTGCTGTCCTTGGAAGTTCCGCCCATGGAGATGAATGAGAAGAACAAGCTCATCGCGAGACCGGTTACCAAACATCGAATCATGGATTTGTGTCTCAGCTGCTCTCATCTGAATGTCCTGAAAGCTGCCTAGAAGCGTGAAGTCCGAGGCTTCGAGTTCAACTCATCGAGTTCAGCAAGGCCACCTTCCAGGCGCTTTCGAGTGTTGGGAGGTGAGCAGAAATTACTTTAGGCTACTATGCAGGATGCAGTTGTGCTGCAGTACTTTCGGGTTCTATAGATTGCGGAGACTCCTTAGGCGGACGTGGAGGAGTTGAAGAAGTGTGCTGACTACAACTCTGGCCGTGCAACCTGCTCCAAGTGTGTCGGCGTTCAGGGTTGATCTCCTCTAATGTGGAAAGCGACTGCTGGCTGCTATGTCAATGTGATTATTGTTACTCGTGTCATCATCAAAACCAGTATTGTTATGATTCTGATGCTTCCAGAGTTTTGTAAGATCCGACCGCCTTTCCATTTGTCATTATTGGTCTTACTCTTACTCTTGTTATCATTATTCGTATTTTTGTTGCTACAGCTACATTCCGGATCATTCTGACGACTATTTTTCGTATAGTTCCTGTTCATAGTATGGTTAATATGATTATGATTATTGGTAGAGTTTCCGAGATCCGTGTCTGTACATGGAAGTTTTCCCCGGACTCGTTTGACGCATCAAAGTTCTGGTCTGGTGGGGGGAGGGCCGGTCTGCTCAGACCGTTTCTTCGCAAAGCTTCTTGCAAGTGCTGCAGTGAACCTTTTGATTGAAAGTTCTGGGCTCAGATTGCAGATGAGGCGTCTAGTACAAAGGCCTTATGACAAGTTTTGCTTGTGGCTAATGCGAGGCATACCCCGGAGGCGCGAGCAAGTCCAAATTACCTCATGCTATCTGCATCGGTCGCGAAGCATGCAAGCTGTAGCTCCATTAACACTGCCGTCTGTGCGAACGGCTGCTAGTCAGCATACAGCCGACTCTGCAAGGGCATTGTGCCGAAAACGACGACTCCTCTCAGCGGCACTTCGACTTTCTACTGGAATTGTGACTCAGCACCGCCTTTCTCGACCTGCCAAGGTGTTCAATCCAAGCAGACCAATGGAACAAGGCTGACCAGTCTCTGCCAAACCCGGAATTCCCTGCGACACCTCTCTCTGTGATCATCCGCGCTAGGCTTCGAAGACCCGGACGGCTATTATCACCTGGAGGGGCGTGCCTTTGCCCTACATTTGGGTCTGTCTGTTTGCCTGTCTGTCTGTGTGTATGTCACAAGGTATGTGTGTATGTTTGTACATGTATATGTGTATGTGTATGTGTATGTGTGCATGCAGGTGCAGGTGTACATGTAACTTGCATGGCATTTGGCTTCAGCCTCGCTTGGGAAGTCTTCAGCTTCTCATGTATGTATGTACAATATACACATAGCATATGCTCCAGCTTAGACGATAGGAGCCTTACACGGTACCTGTTTGCTTTTATGAGAAATTATCTGAAATGGCCGTTGCCTCGCTTGCAATCCATTTCATGCACGAGCTGCGAGTTGTCCTCATAGTTTGTAATGACGAGTAGCCTGAAACTCAAGTGTGTCGTCGTACCACATTACACCATTAGGCTGTGTTGTAGTTGCAAGGTTCTGATGTTGCCACATACCAGACCGTTCCATTGAGAACAAACGACCCTAGTAGGCCATAACTAGCAAAGGATCCCTGTCATAAAGAGTCCAAAAAAGGCGCCTTCCGTCCTTTTGTGTTGAGAAATCCCGTAAAATCTGCATAGTATCAGGAGCAGAGCTGGCTCTTCTCGTGCAGACGCGGCTGCTACCTCAGTACGGTTTTGCTCCCTCCAAGGCCGGATAGTGACTTGTCAGACCAGCATCGCATACACACCTATATAAGCCTACCAAAATGGGGCCCCTAGGGCGATGCTTTCTAGTCATGTGTCGAGTTTGGTAGG